ATGGCGTCCCCCCCCCCCCCCTGCAGAGCGAACCCCCCCCGGCTCCCGAGCATTCGTCCCCCCCCCCCCCCCTTGCAGAGCGAACCCTCCCCCCCCTTGCAGAGCGAATCTTAAGCGAGCTCAAGTCCACACCCTCAGAAACTCACACGCCAGATCGGTTGATTTCTTTATTCAGGGCGGGCGACCAGGGGAGATGGATGAATGGGCCCCGGGTATCGCGCCCAGACCCTCGGAGGCAACAACCGCCCCAAATCTCACGCAATCTTCGAACCTCGAGCAACTGATTCCTCGAAGGGGTCGAGAGGTCTGGGGGCCATGCTTCGAAAAAGCGGCCCGTCTGATGTCGATGCGTCTGGGAGTTGTGATATTTTAACTGAGCCCTTGGGACGTTTTTCGCAACCGCTGATAATTCCCCCCCGAAATTTTGGCCAGGGCGCGCCTAGGGGGAGGCGTAGTGGCCGATCCTCGAAAGGGGGCCCAGACCTCTGGGGAGAGAAAACAGCATGTTTTGGGCGCGCGGGGGCGCGCGGCGGCCCTGCGTACTTGGTTGTACGAACAAGCGCCCGCGCAGTTGGGCGCCATCCCCGCCACGCGCCCTAACAATGTGTTTTTGGCCATCGGCTGTACAAGAGCTGGGACCACAAAAAATGAGAAAGAGAGGGGGAGAGAAAGAGAGAGAGAGAGAGAGAGAGAGAAAGAAAGAGAGAGAGAGAGAGAGAGAGAAAGAGAGAGAGAGAGAGAGAGAAAGAGAGAGAGGAGAAACAAAAAAACAGGAACAGTGACGGAGACAAAGACAGAGCGGGAGAGAGGGGGGGGAGCGGCTTCGCTTACAAGCGCCAAGCGGCGGGGAGGGACAAAAACAAGGCCCCTCGGTCCCGCCCTCGCTCCCGCCCTCGTTTCCGCTCTCGCTCCCGCCCTCGTTCTCGCCCTCGTTCTCGCCCCCGTTCCCGCCTTCGTTCCCGCCTTCGTTCGCGCCCTCGTTCTCGCCCTCGCTCCCGCCCGCCCTCGTTCCCGCCCTCATTCTCGCCTCCGTTTTCGCCCTCGTTCCGGGGCCGCCCATGGGCCGCCCAGGGAACCCAAGGGCCGCCCAGGGAAATCAGACTTGCAACGGAATTCCGGCCAGACCTCAAACAAATTTTAAACACATTTCAACAGACCTCAGACAGACCCCAATCAGAGTTTGACCCAAAACAGACTTCAAACAGACTTTCCAGAGGCTCCCTGGAGGTTCCCCGGGGGTTCCCCGGAAGTGCCCAGAGGAATCCTGGAGGCGCCCAGAGGTCTCCTTGATGCGCCCCCCCGCCCTCACTCCCGCCCTCGTTCCCGCCCTCGTTCCCGCCCTCACTCCCGCCATTGTTCCCGCTATCGTTCACGCCTCGTTCTCTCCTTCGTTCCCGTCTTCGCTCTCGCATTCGTTCCCGCCCGCGGTCCCGCCCTCGTTCCCGCTTTCGCTCCCGCTTTCGCCCCCGCCCTCGTTTCCGCCCTCGTTCCCGCCCCCGTTCTCGCCCATCGCTCCCGCCGTCGTTCCCGCCCCATTTCCTGCCTCCTGCCTCGCCTCCGCCCTCGTTCGGCCCACCTCTGGTTTTCGGCGCCCGAGGGCCGTTTTTTGGGCCCCGGGGCCACTGGGAATCGATCTGGCTTGAAGAACTGGCCGGGATGGGCCCTGTGAGGGTCCCGGGGGCCGATTTTGAGCGGATTTGCTTGTGCGCCTCCCCCCTTGATCGATTTTCCGCGGCCCCATCCAGTTCAGACCCCTTGGTCCCTTCCAACCACCAGCCCATCCAGAAACGATGTCGCAGCCTCCGATATTTAAAAACCTCCGTGGCCCCCACCCGCCCCGCTGAAATCCCGCCCGGCTCCTTCGCACCCCGCCGAAGCTCTGGGAACCTTCCGGGGCCTCGCACCGCCTCCAACACCGATGAAAACCCTTCCCGCCCCTCCCCACCTCTCCGAAATGGCGCGGGACCATGCGGCGCGCCTTTTTTCTCTCGGGTAGTTTCCCAGCCGTTTTATAGTATGAAGCAAGAGCCGCTGATTACTCGGTTTATGCACGAATCCCCCCCCGACGACGCAAAAACGGAATGGGAAAAACGCGTCTGAGCAAGCGAGCGTGCCCCAAGAATGTCGGGCAAAACCAGCCCGGCTACAACGCAAACCAATGTTTGGTAATTTTTCGTCCCCGGGCCCGTACTGCTTTCGAAAATTCGTTCCCGAATGTACCCGAAGGGCTTTCCGCTGTGGTTTCAAACGTTTTGACGCCTTCTGAGTTCTTCTAAAAGCCCTCCGCCACCTCTGGTCTATTACTTACAAAAACGTTGTGGATGGAAGAAAAAGCACGATGTCCGCCTGAGCCCGCGTCGGGGGCGGTAATGCGAGCGCAATGGCGCGCGCGGTCGCGCGCGACCCGCCGCTGGCAATAACGCGAATGCGCGGGCATCGCGGCGACGACGGCGACGGCGACGACGATTGCGGCGTCTGCGGTGGCGGTGACGACGACGGCGGCAACGGCGACGGCGTCGACGACGAACATCGCGGCGCTTACGCCCCGCTCTCGTTCCTGGAATCCCGCGCCAGGTTTTATAGTGTGAGCGAAATTTCCGTGCGCAGTTTTTCCCCAACCGTCTCTCCGCTTTACTAAAGCTCTCTTTTTGTTTTAGAAGCGCGTCATTTTTCCGGAATGCATTGAGCGGCGCGCCTTTACCAAAGCCGCTTCTTCGCTTTAGGGAAGCCGTTTCCTCACTTTAGTAAAGCCGCTTTTCGCTATAGTGAAGTCCGCGGTCTGCTTTAGTAAAGCCTTGGGGATGCGGGGCCAGGACCCGGTCGGGGGGCGGGGGGCCCTGTCTTCCTTGCCAGTTCACCCCGCCATGCATTTGCTCGAGTAATCAGGGTCGCGTTGCATCGGGTCGCGGGCGTTGCATCGGGTCGCGGCGATCCTTGGACTTATTTTCAGCGGGTTGTATATGCTCCTTGACAGCAGGTTCAGGGCGCGAACTCAGGACGTGGCTCGGCAATTCAGACGCGCCGCCGCGGATGTCGCGCAACAGAACAACAGCTTTTTACTAAAGGGCTCGTTTCCTCTAGCAAATGAGCCTTCAAAGTGATATTGTAAACTTCCCGCTTCCAGCCCAATCCTCTGGCACCCTCCGACAGATTCCCAAAAAACTCCCAAGCCCCCGAGGCCCCTTCAAAGCCCTGCTCGGCTTTCGACATGCTTCCTAACCTCAGTAATCATTCCCAGCCCTCCCCACTCCTCCATACCTCCCGGAACACGTTCCTGGGCCATCCCCGCCCTCTTGAACACCCTCCGAGTCCCGCCCGGGCCCACCCCATTCCCCGACGCCTCTAAGAAATCTCACGGGGCACTTCCCGCGCCCCCGAATCTTCTGAAAAGTGCGGCGTTTCTCCTCTGCGCTGCCTGCCCCCGACCTGTCCAGGGCGGGCGCTGGGGATTGGGGCGGTTGCCGCGCTGCGCACCCCTTCGCGGCGCGGCAGCTGGCAGCCGTGAGGGGCGAGCCTCGGGTGCGTCGTTTTCATGTCGATTGCAATTGTGTAGTTTTGGGCAGGGCCGCGCAGGCGGGGGGCTCTTCTCGCGCCCCCCCGCGCAGGCCTTAGCCTTAGCGTTGCCGCAGGGCGGCGTGCGCAGGCCGGCCCAGCTCGCAGCATTTGGCAGCTGGCGGCTGGGCCCCCAGACCGGCCCAGCCATGGCCTTTTGTTGTTCTTGAGGACGATTGCGTACGGGGGCGACCCGGCGGCGTTCTGGGCCGACGCCGCGACATTGTATTCGGCGGGCCCGAACCAAACCGTAATCATGCCTAAATCAGAGGCCCCAGTCAGACCTCAAGCAGTTTTGGCTCGTAGGGTCAGCGTTAAATCAAAGTTCCAGTGATGCCTAAATCAATGTTGGTCAGACTTGAGTCAGATAGTCAGCGCAGACATCAATTAGACCTTCGTCAGAGATTTGGGCCGAGACCGAGAAACATAGTTTGCTTCCAAACTACATATTCAGCAATAGTAGAGCAAATTCTAACTTCAAGGACTCCGCATCGGATTTCCCGCTTCCGCGGCCCCTGCCAGTCGCGCGCGTGTTTTGTTCGGGGAAGCCGCGTCGGACTGCGCGGGCCATGCGAAGGTTGCGTTCTTCATCGGTGGTCGCAGCGCAGATTCTTCTTCATTGGAAGCGGGGTTACTTATTTGGGTTCAGATCATCCCTATTGTGCCCGCCCCGCTAACGATGCCACGTTTCCCCTTCCCGGGAGGTTTTGTCGGACCGCTGTCAGGGCTCCATTGTGATGCGTTCGTCCGACAGTGGGGCGAGGGAAGGGGGGCGCTATTTGCCCAAGTGAACGACGGCACCGAGCAACACCCCCCTTGCAACCTTAGGGGGGACTTCCAGAGAAGGGGGGGGCGCGTGCGTCCTCAAAGTCCGTCCTGTTCCTCGTTGCTGTTTCCACTCCTTGCTTCCCTTTGCGTTTTCATGCTTTCGTATTGACGCTATGAGCCCCCCATCCCGCTGAGCCTTAACATCCTTTTTGTAGGGATTTCCGATCGCGTGGTTCCTTGGTTCGTGAGCGAGGGCGCGGCCTTCACCCGGGCCCAAGTCAAATGTCCCTCCTCCATCCGCCTCTTCCTCCGCCGCCTCACCTGCCCTCGGAGTGAGAGCCTGTGGCCTCCACCACGCGCGAGTTTGCCGCTCATCGTAGGGGGAGAAAGGGGACAGCGGGGAAGAGGAGGAAGAGGGGCTGGGGCACGGGGAAGGGAGGGAGGGAGGGAGGGAGGGAGGGAAGGGACGATTAAAAGGATGAGGATGGGGCGCCAGGGTTCGGGGCCAGGATGGTCATGATGAGTGGGGTTGGGCGGTGTGGTAGGGAGGGAGGAGAAAACAGCGAGGGGAACGTTGGGACGAGGGGGGAGGGAGGGAGGGATGCCAGGCTCCGACCTCTCGGTCCGACGTGCGCCCCTCCCCTCCCCGAGGGGGGGGGGTCCACGCGAGTGCCTGGCAGGGCCAGTGTCGCTCGAGAGGGCGGTGCAGAAACTTGAGAGCGACAACCAGGTTCTGGCGGCGCAGGTTCTGCAGCTCACCAGGCGCCAACGTTCTGCAACAGAACGTACGCCGTCGATGTCGTCGTGAGACCCTTTTTCGCTATTTCGAAAGTTGTTCTGCAGATAGTATTCAGCTGACATGATGGGTGTGCAGTAATTCCCTTCGTCGCCCGCTTCTTGAGCAATTTTGGGAGTGATTCTCCATGGCCAGGTTGACCATGTGGGAAGTTTTGGACAGCTTGGAAAGTGTAATGAATGAGGAGCTCGTTTGAACCCCCCCTTCAAACGTGATTCAGACACCTTGCGAGGGGGAGCACGGGGAGGAAGGCAGCCGACCATTTCACATGTTGTTCCACACCTTGCCAGCGGGACCCTGTCGATTCCTTCCCGCTGGAAGGCATTGTAGGCTGGTTGAAGTCTCCTTTGGGTCCTCTTGGAGGCCTCTGGGGCCAAGAGGGGTTTTTGGGTGGGGCTGTGGAGGGTTTCCAGGCCGTCAATGAGATCTCCCGAAGAGGCTCGCCTGAACCATCTTGCGGACGTCTGGGCGGGTTTCGGGGCCGTCTTGGAGACCTTTGGAGCCGTCGTGGAGAGTTCTGGGGCAGTCTTGGGGCTTTCTTGGGGCTGCATCGGGCCGTCTTGGGGGCTTGTCCAAGCTCTCGGCAAGTCTCCCAAATCAAGTTGTAGCCGAAAAGCCTAGGAATGAGAAAACATTGCATGCTTTTGCCTCTGAGTGTGTCGCTGTGGTTTTTGGGAGCTGTTGTGGCCCAGTCGGATTTTGTTGGGGGTTCTGTTGACCCCACGTGCCTATTTGAAGCAACTGTGGATGCATGTTGGGCTTCTTGGGACCCTCGGAGCCACGGCCTGACGCGGCTCCGAAAACTGCAGCATGCACGTTTGAAGGCATCAGTGCAGCAGCGAGTTGATGCAGCAATGTGGAATCCTCAGCCCTCTCGGCTCTTGAGAAAAGAGTCGTCTGCGCACTCCGTCATGGTAGCGGAGCCGTGGTTGCATGCGTGAGCTTCCAGTGCTCGCTCGCGCGTCCCACGGCTCCCCGGTGCCATCGTCTTCTACCTCTTCCCCGTCGGCGTCGCGATCGCCGACACCGTCCCCAGGGCCCAGGGCCTCGAGAGGAGGCTCCTGGACCAGCGGCCCCAGAGGCCGCGCTGGAGAGGCCAGTACCAGAGTACCTGGCCCGCGCTCCCTGGCGCCTCGAACGAACGAGGGCTAGGAAGGAACCGCGCCCCTTGCCGCAGCCCCGGCGCACGGCGGTAGCGTCTGGCCCTGGAGAGGCCGGAGCTCTTCCGAAGAAGCGGGGGAAGGCCGGCAAGCGCCCGAGGTCCGCTGAGGCCTTTGGGCTGCGCCAGGCAAGGAAGAAATTCAAGTTGTTCGTCCGCGGTACGGGGCGCTTGGAGGACGGCCGCACGCTGTCCGAAGCTGCCAGGAACACGCTAGAGCAGAGACAGATTGACAACCTGTTCAACAGCATCTGACGCAGCAGTGGCGGCAGAAGAGCAGATGAGAGCTCTACAGGCACAGCTGGCAGAGCTGCAGGGCGTGGTGGCCACCTTGACCCAGCAGCAGCACCAGCAGCAGCCATCATCGCCTGCCGCGGCAGCCGCGGCCGCTGCCCCCAGCCAGCTTCCACCGGCCATCGATACAAGGGTTATCGGTGAGCCGGATATGTTCTTCGGCCGCAGGGAAAAGTTTCCGGAATGGTCGTTCGTGCTCAAAGCGTACATGTCCGCCATCGACGCTAGATACTCTGACTTGTTAGATCAAGCTGGTGATAAGGATAGTATCATCAGGGACCTAGACTTAGAGCCGCACGAGAAGCAGTTGTAAACGCATTTGTACTATGTATTAGTCATGCTTTGTCGCGATAAAGCACAAGACAAAATGAACACAGTGGTTTCTGGAGAGGGGTTCGAGGCCGGGGGACATTTAATCATCGACTGGGACCCGAAGGTCCGCACGAGGCGAGTTGGCATGATCATAAAAATCTTGACTGCCAAGTTTGGCGGCGACATGCCCCAATCGTTGGATCAGTTCGAGACGATGATCAGGGAGTATGAACAGCAGAGCAAAAAGGTGTTTGACGAGGATCTGAAACTGGGTCTCGTTGCGGTGAACATGACGGGCGCCGGGTTCCAGAAACACTTGGTGAAGAACGCCAGCCGCCTGGACACGTGGAGAGCGATGAAGGGCGAGTTGCTGGATATGGCTCGCACTGAGCAGCGCCTCGACTCACAGGCCAGGCCTGCGGAGTTCGGGGGGCTCCCCAGGCCCAAAGCAGAGGAAGGAAAAGGGGAAGGCGACCACAAAAGGAAAAGGAAGAGGATACGGAAGAGGGAAAGCGAAGGGCGACGGAAGGGGAAGAGCAAGAGCGACGGCAGGTGCAAGGCAGGAAAAGGCAAGGGCGCAGAAACACGCGCGTGTTTTTACTGCGAGAAACCAGGGCACCTGAGCGCGCAGTGCCCCGAGAGGGCTGCCGACAAGAACCGGCAGCTTGCAGAGGCCCAAGAGGCCGAGCAAGACGACGCCGCCACAGGCTCAACTCATGCACGGCCCGCCCCAACGGTGAGCGCCATAGTCAGGCCGGACAGCGATGGCGAGCGCGACTATGGGTTTCTTATGCCCTCGGTCGACAACGACGCGCCGTTGGCACCAATGCCGCCCAGGAGGGTGGTGGTAGATTCCGGCGCTGGGCGGAGCGTCCGGCCCACGGGTTTCGACCCAGACGCTACCGGCGATGGCGCTGCGAGGCCGTCGAGGTTGTCCACGGCAACAGGAGAGGACGTGCAGCTGACGACTGGGAAGAGGTCGCAGTGCCAGACCAGCGATGGCAGGCCGATCGCACTGACGCACAACAAGAGCGATCAGGTGAAAGTTCCGGTCGTGGCTGCTTCTGAGGCAACAGAGGCTGGCAACTGGATTGTCTTCGGCCCTGGAGTGCAACGAGTTGTGGCTCCAGCAGACGCGCGTGAGTTGCAGGAAGCAACTCTGGCCGCCAGGGGTGTAGACATGGTCAAGGACAGGGGGGTCTATGGCTAGATCTCTTCGAAGACGACGGGCGGCAGCGGGCTGGGCCTCTGTGCCCTGCAAGGCCAGTAAAGAAGGTCTACGTACCGCCTGGCGGTGCGACAGAGTCGCCCGAACCGCAGAGCGCGCCGCCGGGGGCGCGCCAGGAGGGCGGCAGCAGCAGCAGCGCCGGGCCAGCAGCCGCGCCCGGAGCGGCGCCTGCGGCTCCTGAGGCCGCCGGCCCGCCTCCGCGGCCAGGGGTCGTGGGCGCGCGGTCGCTTATGCTGATGGTGGAGTCAGAGGGGGCCAGGAGGCCGCGAGCCAAGGCCATTCCACCTACGGCCAGCAGGGCCGAATGGGACCTGCATCAGCTGACGCACCTGCCGTTCAGGATCTGGTGTGAGGCATGTGTAATTGGCAAGGCGGCGGAGGGCCCTCGCTGGCGGAAGCGACCAGATGAGCAGCAGCAGGGTTTGCCAAATTTGTTCCCCGACTTCCTGTTCCTCTCCAAGAGGCGGGAATACAATCTCCTGCATGCGGTGCTGAACCTCCTGGACGAGCGGTCGGGAGCACCAATCCCTAACATGGTGCAGAGGAAGGGCGACGACGACTTCGCTGTGAGTTGCCTCCATGAGATGGTGTGTTTCTGCGGCCAGAGTGATTTCATCGTCATTAACGACGGTGAAAACCCCATCAACGCGTTGGTGGCCAAGTTCGTAGAGACGAAGCAGAAGGGCATCACTGTCCTCCGGGGGCACACGCCGAAAAGGTTCGCCCCAGTCAGCCGGAAGCATCGAACGTTCTACGAGGTAGAGAAACAGCATCGGGCCTTGAAGGCTGGATTGGAGAAGGCGTGCCGGAGAACGTTCGAGATGTCTCGCAAGATGCAGCCATGGCTGGTGAGGCGCGCAGGGCGGCTGCCCACGCGTTTCCTTGTCAAGGAAGACGGGGAGGCACCATGTGAACGGCTCAAACAGAGGCCGTGCAATGGTGAAATCTGTGAGTTTGCTGCATGTACTCATCACAAGCATCCGGCGGATGCTGCGGGCAAGGCTGATGACGATAGGTGGTCGCTCGGCGCGTGGCTTGGCAAGTCGCTGAGGGCAGACGAGCACCTGGTTGGCACCGAGAAGGGCGCGACTACCTGCCGGAGCATCTGGCGGAGGCCAGAGGCGCAGCGGTGGCAAGCACCGTTGCTAGACCGGTTCGTCGGGGGCCCCTTGCAGCCCGTGCCGCCAGGCGTCAAGGGGGCCAATTCCAAATGCGCGTGCATCACCATGGAGCGTATCGCAACATTCAAAGCCACGGAAGGATGTCCTGGGCGCAAAGCCCCGGGGGAGATGCGCCGCGCAGCTGCGCGTCGAGAGCGATTCGCCCGCCTCGTGGCGGAAGAGAAGGACAGACAACAGAAGGCTCGAGAAGAGAAGGCCCTGCGCCTCGAAGAGCCACCCCCCGTGCAACCAGAGGCGCGCAACCTTCCGGCAGCTGCCGGCAGCGCGCCCGCGGCCCGAGAGGCAGCGAGCGCGACGGGCGCAAGGAACGCTGCGACCCGCCAAGGGGCCAGTTCGGCTGCTAGCCCTGCGCCTGCGGCCCGCGTGGCCCCGAGTGCGGCAGCTGGCCAAATGCCGCAGGACGTGGAGATGCCGGAGGCCCCGCGTCCGAGGGAGGCAGCCGATGAAGATGTGTGTGTGTGTGTGTGTGTGTGTGTGTGTGTGTGTGTGTGTGTGTGTGTGTGTGTGTGGGGGGCAACCCGTAGAAGGCGAGCCTGTGAACGAGCAGGCCCGAGTGGCTGCCCTGGCCGCGCTCCACGAGGCCGACGCGGCGACAGCGCCAGTCGGCGTGGAAATGGCTTTCCTGCTAGTGGCCCCCGAGGCCGCAGAGCCAGTGCTGCAGGAGCTACCTGTGCACATGGATCTGAGCAAGGAGTATTGCCCCACGAAGGACGGTGTCCGATCCAGAGAAGGCGTTGGAGGGCAAGTTGAAAGAGCTGGCCCAAATCGACAACTTCGGTGTGGAGGGCGACA